GAAATAAAGGCTTTAATATGAATTATGGTATTGTGTGAATAATTAACAGTTAATGTTTAAAACCTTCAGAATTTAAAAGACAATTGAAAACACACAAGGCTAAGCTTGTCAGCAAGTCTTGTGTACACTATCAACTAAATAAAAAAGACATGAATATGTTGAGTTTTTTTCCTAATTGCTAAATGACTGTTGTGAGAAAATTGCATCATTGCCATATGTGGTTCCATATTGTGTGGCAAAAGAGAAAATGGCATAACAGTTGCTGGAATAAATATATTACAAGAAGATTTGGATATGGTGTATGTAATTTTTGGTTAAAAAAGAATATAAATTAAAATGATCATAACACATAGCATAATAGCTCATTGAATTTATTTTGTTATAGAATACATTTAGAGTTTGGTATATAATTTAAAAAGCAAGTTGATGAAAGTTCTGATACTGCATGCTGTATGACAACTTTAATTCACATCTTATATATATGGTGAGATGATTTTATGTAGGATTTGGTGGCCAATTCTAATGTAGATTCACACATAAAGATATTACGTATTTTTGCAAGATTGGAACAATACATCATTGATCAATATAAACTGAAAAAACTAAAGAAATAATAAGTGATAAAACAACCATATAATAGGGATTTTACCTCAGTTATTAAAAAGTTAGGTGATATAAAAATAATGAAAATTTACCACTCAGATCTCCTGATTTATTTTGAGAGACAGAGAGTGCGGGGGAGGGACAGAGGTGAGGGAGAGAGAATCCCAAGCAGGTTCTGCACAGCATGGAGCCTGACATGGGGCTCAATCTCACAAACCTGTGAGATCATGACCTGAGGCGAAATCAAGAGTCAGACGCTTAATTGACTGAGCCACCCAGGTGCCCCAATAAATAAATAGACTTTACAAAATTTAAAAAAAAAAAAAGAAGAAAGAACTTAAAAAGAAAAAAACGATGCTATATGCTATCTACAAGAGACTGCCTTTAGATACAAAAAGAGAGAAGTTGAAATGGAAAAAGTTGCTCCATGCAACAGTAAGTAAAGGAGAGCTGAGGTGGCCATACCTAAATCAGATAAAATGGACTGTAGGTAAAAAAAAAAAAAAA